AATAACCCAATGGTTATTACACTTAAATAACCATTACACTTAAATTAACTCCAATGAAAATTAGAAAATATTTTGACATGAATGATACATGAATGATAACAAAATCCCTACTTGAGCTGCATCTTTCTTTATCAAAACAAGAAAGATACAATCAAAGTTGGAAATGTTTAGAGAAAGACATGAAACTTTAAGTATATATTAGAAAAGAAGAAAAGCTAAAGTCAATGATTTAAGCTGGAAAAAGAACAAGTTTGCTCAAAGTAGAAGATAGGAAACAATAAATAAAAATTAAAACTGGTAGAAAACAAACATACTATAGGAAAGAAAATCAAAGCCCAAAGGTGGTTCCCTAAAAAAGACTAGTAAAATTAGTAAGTCCATAAAACTACTAATCAATAATCACTCTTTTGGAAATGCAAACCAAAACCACAATGAGGTATCACCTCATACCTGTAAGAATATCTATTATCAAAGAGACATGAGATAACAGCTACTGGTGAGGTTACAAAGGGAACAGTGGTACACAATTTGTGGGAATGAAAATTGTGTAGTCACTGTGGAAACAGTATGGTAATTTCTCAAAAAATTAAAATTGGAACCACCATATGACTCAGGAACCCCACTTCTGAGTATATAGTCAAAGGAAATAAATCAGTATTTCAAAAAGATATCTGCATTTCCATGTCATTGCAGATTTATTCACAACAGCCAAGACATGGTAACAAACTAAATGTCCATCAATAAATGAATGGATAAGGAAATGGAATACACACACACACACACACATACACACATGAATATGATTCAGCCATATCAAAAAGGAAATTCTGCCACCTGCAACAATATTGCTAGACTTTGAGGGCACTGTGCCAATGAAAGAAGTCTGACAGAGAAAGACAAAAACCACATGATCTTACTTAGATGTAAAATCTAAAACACTCAACTGGGGTTCTGGAGGTTGCGTTGATAAGTGATATAAGAGAAATGGGAAGACGCTGTTTTAAGGGTACAGACCTTCAGTTATAAGGCAAATACTTGCAGGGATCTAATATACAGTATGGTGACTACAATTAACAATACTATATTGTATACTTGTAAGTTTCTATGAGAATACAGCTTTAATGTTCTCACCATAACAACCAGAAGAATATGGTATTTACGTAAGGTGAAGGATGTGCTCACTAACCTTATTATGGCAAATATTTAACAATATATGCATTTATCAACTGATCACATCATACACCTTAAACTTACATAATGTTACACATCAATTATATCTCAATATAGCGTAAGGAAAAAATATCACCCCTTGGAGGATCCAAAGGGTGGACCGTGGGTGTCAGAATATTTGTGAATCATGAGAGCTGAGAGCTACCCAAAATGGGTAAAAAAGAAAGAGGAGTTGGGAATGAACACATTCCAGTTAAGCCCAGAGTTGTTTAGAACCCCAACCTTCAGTTAATTACATCAGCTTTGCACATAATACAAAGTTAGACACATAAACGTTCAATTTACAGATATCCCTCATATAATACTTTCATATGGGTAAGTTTGTTTATAATTTCTTGGAGCAGGAATTATCCAGTAGAGATTTTTCTTTCATACTTTTGAGAAACTGTGGCTTTCATGAAAATGCAACTAAAAAAATTCACTCCCTGACCAAGAGAAGCAACATGGAAGCTTGCCATCCAACCAGGGTGTTGGGAGAAGGAAGAGGTAGGGAGAACAGCAAAGAAAATAGTGGAAAATACTAAAAACACTAAGCATGTGCCAGAATCTGTTGTGGGCTGCAAAGTTACACTACCCACGAGGTAGTGGAATCCCAAGCCATGACATTATTACCAAACCTGGTCCAAAACCACTGAAATGTCAATGGCTCCAGCAGATGTAAACTTTAAACTGCTCAACTGCTCTGCAGGGCTCATAGGTCTTTCCACCGTGTGTGTGTGTGTGTGTGTGTGTGTGTGTGTGTGTGTGTGTAGGATGTGACTGATAATAAACATACAATTAATTACATACATAAACAACCAGCAACTTTAATGACCAATTTTACTCTATTATTTATAAATAGTGGGAAGTAATAGAATAATCTAAAAGACTATGAGATAAATTACTTTAAAATTGTGAAGGAGATAAAAGGAAGATATGGAAAACATTGAAAAAACAGGACAAGTATATATTTAAAAAAAAACTAGTAGAATGTGAATGTTTAAAAATATAACTAAACAAATTCACAAATGAAAAATACAGTCATCAAAAATAAATAAGTTAAAGAACAGATTAAAGAGCAGATTAAATATATATGAAAAGCTTTTAGTGAACTAAAAGAGGTCTGATAAAAAGCACTTGGAAAGCAACACAGAGATATAAACAGGAGAGGGCAAATGGCCAAGCAGTGCTTCCACAGCCTACCAGAGCAGCGTTCATGAAAGAAGGCACATGGTGACAGCATCAGTAGCTGGTGTTCATGTCCCCTGCTAACCATGACACTCTAGGGCAATCTGGCAGAGCAGAATGTCAAATGTTCAGAATGGGATCCCACTGCTTCCATTGTAGGTCTTTTATGTGACACGATTATGGTAGCACTGGTCCCTTGCCTACGTGATCAGACTCAAGGATACAATAACAGAGTGATGTGTGAATGTTCTGTATGTGTCAGAAGCCAGGCTCTATACCTAACCTGCTAGCTTGACGGCTGGGGTAGCTCCCTGGTATGACCTGGAAGCCGTGTTCCAAGTGTGGCTAGTATTAACTGTGAGACGTGGCAATACAGTAGCAGAATTTCCACATAAGTATGCATTGCTTGAAAACCAACAGACCCATCTCTGGGATTATTATTATTAGAAACCCAAGTTTTATGAGCTGATCAGGTTTGTGTCTCGTACTGGCCACAGCCAATTTTAGAGTTACTGCAAGAGACCTAGTCCTTTACTGTGTGTACAGGGGCTCACTCTCAGATGGGCTAGTAGTCATCCCGCCAGCACATAAGACTTTCCAATAAATTCTGTATATGATTTACAGAAGAGGACAACAGAGAAAACAGATAGGAGCAGTACCTGAAGAAAAAATGGTTCAGATTTTCCAAAACTGATAAAAGACATTCTTCCAAACAAAGATGTACAATGTATTCCAAGTCAGATAAACTAAAGCAGATTTGTAATTCAAATTTCACTATAAAATTACATAACAGCAAAGACAAACATAAAATCACAATAGCAACCAGACAGAAAATTGGCAACTAATATAAACAGAATCACAGTGAAGCTAACTGCAGACTTCTGTGGTGACATCTCCAGAGATGGCTCTCCCACAATTCTCCTCATCCCTATGAATACAAACTGCTTCTCACATCAAGAGTTGCAGCTTGGACTGACCCTTTAAATGTTCTGACCAACAAAATGCAATAAAAGTGGCATTTAATACTTCTGAGCCCAGGCTTTCAGAAGACTGGCAAGCCATAACGCTTCTTGCAACTCTCACTCTGGGAGACTGTCCCTCAAAACTGATCATTCTAGGAGAAGGCCAAGCCACACAGACTAGACACATGAATGAGAACTGAAGGAACACAACAAACAGACTCTGGCGAGATTCCACCTACAGTCAGTATCAAATGACAGCCATCTTTGATGTTCCAGCTGAATTGAGTCCCCAGATAACTGCAGCCGTGGCCAACATCAAGAGGAGAAACCATCCATCTGATATCAGACGGCATAAAGAATCATAAAAGAGAACAAAATGACTTGGTATTTAACTTACTAAGTTTAAAAAAAAAATTTTTTAAGATTTATTTATTTATACAAGAACCAGGGTACAGGCCAGATGTGCCGGAGGATGAGAGGATTCACCAGAGACAGAGCGGGGGAACAGAACAGGCAGACTGACTGAAATACACTGCTGAGGGGAGCAGTGGGCCGACAGGTGAGGTCTACAGCGCCATGTGGGTTGCTCCGCGGCCGCTGGGAATGGAACCAGCACTGCAGAGGCTGCGGATACCTTCACAGCACCGTGCTCAACTGCCTGCACCACCAGGGAGGCCCAGTTTAAAGATAGTTTTAAAGCATCAGTAATAATTAAACAAACCACTTCTCAGTTGCAGTAAGATTCCAGAAGACAATGGAAATATAACTTTAAAAGTGCTGAGGAAAAGTAAGGCATAACCTAGAATTCTACCACAAACTAAATATCTTTCTACATACTTGGTTTAAAGACCAAAGTATATTTTTAGAGACAAATTGTGAAAGTTCACCACTTATAACCTCTTAAAGAAATACTATAGCACCTACAGATCATAAAATAATTGTAAGCAATGAAATGTATAAAAATGTTGCAAATCTGAATAAGCAATGACTTGATAAAAGTAAGATACAACTACAATATTAAATAGTATCTGATTTTGTTAACTAATGTCATTAGTCTATTTTGGTGTTTTGAACATGTACTCAGTATAAAATAGCATAAAGGAAATGTCCTAAAGAACAGAAAACATATACAAAAGTGTCTCTGAGCCTTGTACCCATAATTTATCAAATCTTCTCCACCAACCCTCACAGGTGACCCACCCATCCCTCTACATCTTAGATGGTCCCAGCTTCAGCCATCAAGGGATAGAATGAGGGCACTCACAAGAAAAAACAAAAGTGAACAGGCAGGCATGAGAACCCAGATTCAGCATATGATTCCCACTTTTAAAATTTTATCAGCTTTGTTATAAAGAAAATAATGTCAAGGAATTGTGATGTGAATAATTTTGAACATTAAGGACCAAGTTATGATGGAAAGGCATCTTACAAAAGATAGTAAGCTAGAAAATCCCATAACCATATAAACTATTAATTTTCTCCCTCATCTCAATCTTAACATGCAAATTTTCAATTAAGTTTCCAATAGAGCCCCAAATTTAAAGAGAGGTAAGTTCAGAGCTTTAATTTTCAATTAACACAGAACCCAATTATATTAGAAAGTGATTAACCATTTTTAAAAGGCTATTAAGTATTACTTACTTTAACAGCAAATTTCTTTGATGCCATGGCTTACTGATTCCGGAGTAATTACAGATCTTTAATAGAAGAAAAAAGAAAGTTGTAAGTAGATAAATCAATATCTCTTTCTATTTGAATATTGTATCGGAGAGAGGTTCACTGAATAATCAAATATCAATAGGCATTTGTGAGATGAATGCTCATTTATAACTGGTCTTTCAAAAAGTATTATTAAATTAGTAATTTAAAATGGTCCACAAATCAAAGCACCAGTCCAGATGTATTTACTAAATGTTCTAAAAAGAATACATACCAATCCCAAACCTTCACAAACTCTTTTAAAAAGAAGTGTAAGAAAAACTTCTCAAACAATTCTAAGAATCAATGTTATCCTGACACCAATACCAGAGACATCACAAAAATTGAAAATTATACATCAACATCCCCTATGAATAGACACAAAAATCCTTAACAAAATATTAGCAAACCAAATTGAACTACATATATAGAAGAGAATTATACAACATGACCAAGGATTTATCAGAGAATATAAGAGCATTTAAACATCAGAAAATTAGTCCAACTCCATACAAAGACAAATTTTAAAATCGACTAAGTATCTGAAGAGACATTTCTCCAAAGAATATATACAAAAGCATGATAAGCGCATGAAGAGATGTTTGATATCAATAGCTATTAGGTATCACATAAAAATGTATACAGTAATATTCAAAGCAGCACTATTCATTGTAGTGAAAAAAATTGAAATTCAAATGTCTGTCAATTGATGAATGAACAAAATGTGGTATGTAGTTAAGCACCACTTAACATTTCAGTCAATGAAATATGATAACTATTCCAAACCGTTATACTATATAATCTAGGTGAATATAAGCTATACTGTCTAAGCTATACTGTCCAGATCTGTGTGATTACTCAATGACATTTGTACTACATTCGAATTGTTTAAAGATGCATTTCTCAAAACATGACCATTGTTAAGTGGTGTATGACTATATACACATAATGGGATGTTATTTGACCAAAAAAAAGGAATCAGATACTTATACTCTTGTGCTCAGTCAGACAACAGCCCTCTTGAAGAAGCCTGAGAATTACTTTCTATAGAAGGTAAGTCAAAAGATCTCTGGTCTAGAAAAGAGGCATAGCATAAAGTTTCCCTACTGAAAACAAAGAAAAATTAAAGTAATATTTACAAATACCTTCTTTAACCCACATATCCCTGTGATGGTTAATTTAATGTCAACTCGTGTGGGCTAAGGAATACTCAGAAACTCCACTTATTTCTGGGTGTGTCTGAGAATGTTCTGGCAGAGATTAGCATTTGAATTGATAAAATGAGTAAAGTATAGGGTTTTCCTCAAAATAGGTAAGAACCACACAATATGTTAAGAGCCCATGCAGAATAAAATGGTGGAGGAAGGGTGAATTCACTGTCTCTGTGAGTTGGGACATCCATCTTCTCCTGCCCTTAGACATCCACATTCCTGGTTGTTGGGTCTTTGGATTTGGACTAAATAACACCATTGACTTTCTAAGTTCTCCAGCTTACAAACAGCAGATCACAGGACTTCTGTGTCTCCATAATCACAATCACGAGTCAGTTCCTAAAATAAATGTGTGTGTGTGTGTGTGTGTGTTTATATGCATGTAGTATTTCCCTTTCATTCTGTTTCTCTGGAGAATCTTGACTAATATACCCCTCTATAATACCTGGCCATTACAAATAAGAGACTCAAATCTCCCCATTTAGTGAACTGGACTAACCTAAGAAGAGTTCCCCAAGGAAGCAGCCTAGACAGATGACTCTAAAATGAAGCACATACCCACAAGTCCCACATCTGTGTATAGAACTAATTTCCATCTTTATAAAGTTGCACTTTCAAATACAAGTAAACAACCAAGAATCAGTTGCCATCTATGGAAATACTCTGTCACGAAAGAAAACAAAACAGAAACCTACTTGGCTGAAACTGAGACTATGCAGAGAAAGGGAAACTTTTTTTTTTCTAAAGAAACTATCATTAAAATCACAGAAATAGGAGATATTGGGTCCATAAGGCAATAAATAAGTTTTCCTTTAAAGAAGTTTTGGAGAATACCAAATTGGAACTATAATAGCTGTAATTAAAAACTTTATGGCAGTGGTGGATAATCAAATATAGAAATTCATTCAGAAATTTCAGCAAAAATAAAAATGATAAAAAATAAGACAATAAATGAAAAATTAAAGGACCAGGATAGGAGGACCAATACATGAAAATTAGGATTCAAAACAGTTCTGTTAGGGCACATATCAATAAAATTTCAGGCACTAATGACAAAAGGAATCTTAAAGATGTATGGCAGGGGAGAAGTAAGGAGCAGAGGTAGTAAGTGAATACATGGCTCCAAATTGCCCAAAGCAACGTTGGAGACTAATTAGCAAAGGAGAATATCTTCAAAATTCTTTAGAAAAGTGTTTCCAACCTCCAATTGCATTTAAACATGAGAGGGAAAAAATAAAACATTTTTAGACATGCAAGATCTTAAAAAAATCTGTCTCATGCCTTTCTCCGGAAGCTACTAAAGATGTGCTTCACCAAAATGAGGAAATTAACCAAGAAAAAAGGAAGATATAGGAAACAGAAAGGCTGAGATAGGCAAAAGGCAGAGGAAATCCCCTGAGCACCTGATGAAAGCAAATCCCTGCATGAAATGCTGCTTAGACCAGGAGAGAACCATTAGTCCAGGCCTAAACAAGTTGCAAGGTTCCAGAAGATGCCTCTTGGGAAGTGTCTGCATACATGCATGTGAATTTTAGAACACTGGTGGAGAATGTGATATTGAATTAAGACAGGTACATGGAAAGTTAAACAACTTCACAACAAGGCAGTTACTGATTTCAGAACAAACACAAATTGTAGGGAAAATAAAGAGTACTCCATACACAGCTCAGTTATGACTCACATTTATAGTCATGATAACAACTGCTGAATCTTGTCTGAGACTATATTATGTTTACAACAATGAGGATGGGTAGTGTGTGTGTGTGTGCACGTGTATGTGTGTATGTGGTAGGTGCACAGAGGCTAATTCAAAGGTACCTTCAATAATAATGGCATGTTTCAGAAGTAAAGCCTAAAACCAATTAAAATAATAACCATCACCACAACAGTGTAATAAAGCAGAAATATGGCAAGTAATTTATTGTATGGACCCAATATTTCTTTTCTTAAGTGCTAAACTCTGCCCCAACCTCAAGAGCAAGTGACCTGCTATTGACCAGAAGCTTTACCAATAATATAGTCGATTAACACACTTTATATATGTTTTATATACTGTATTCTCACAAGAAAGCAAGCTACAGAAAAGAAAATGTTACTAAGAAAATACATTTACAGTGCTGTACTAAGTATCAATACCATAAATTTATGTCATCTGTGTACAAGAAAATCTTTGTATAAATGGGCCCCCACAGTTCAAACCTTTATTATTCAAGGGTCAACTGTATATTATTTGAGCCTGATTAACATAAAATCAGTTTCCTTACACATATTAAATCAGACTTGAATAACTAATGATAAGAATTTAGAGCGTTCCTCCCTCAGGGTACTTAAAAGAATACTCAAATGGTTCAACTGATAAAGATAAGCAGAGACTGTTGGGTCTGAAGTGTGTGATCTAATTATTTTTAAAATTATACATTGCTTTTTCCACACAGCTTTCCTGAAGGATAAAGGGACCACACGAAAGCTTTGGCAAGGATTTCTTATCATGTCTGCCCTTAGATAGATTATGAGCAACATTACAGAGAAGGCTACATTTTCAACTCAAAATAAGGTTCCAGTAGACTCCCTTTTTTTTTTTAACTTTTATTGGTAAAGTAAGAGCAGCTGTATTTACTTTTAAAGGACTGAATTCTTCAAAAAGTATCATAAAGCCCAATCTCAAAAATATGATCTACAGAAAGCTAAAACTGAAAAGCATACATTTTATATAAAATAATATAGTCTGCTTATGTAAAATAGCCTGTATGGGAAGGAGATATATGATACATTCTGCATTTTTTTAATGAAATTTTTAATATGTGGCATTCTACTTCTCAATATATAGAATGCTTTGATTTGTTTCCACAATTTCTGGAGCCTCAGAAAGTCACAAATTTTGTGGAAAAGGAGATCTTAGAGATCATGTGCTCCCAACCCTGCCCAAACAAAAACTTGAAGGACCAAGCCAAGGTTTAACAACAGAGGGCCAAGGACAAGGGAGAGGCTTATTGGCTCCCTGAAGGCAAACTAGCACCATCTGTCACCTGCAAGTTCAACTGCCAAGGTTAATTGCCAACTGGGCTGTTGAGATAGTTGTGCTTTTTCCCCTCACCACCCCCCCACTCCTCCCCTTTGCCCCATGTTCCCAGCAAAGAGTAAGATTTCAAAGTGACAAGAGCACTGGTTGCCTCCTGCTAATGAAAGAAGGGGGAGGGGATGACACAGAGAGGGAGGAAGGGAAAGGAAGAAAGGTAAGAACTCTAAGTAAAATGTGGTTTGAATTAATTTACTATTATACTATATGACATATCACACTACTTCATGAATTAAAAAAAATAAATGAGATCTACCAAGATAAAACCATTAACACATCTGGACAGTCAGTTTCATAGACCTTGAGCCTGCTGCATATTTGCTACCGTCATTTTAGGTTTTTTTAAAAAAGGCATTTTTTCCCTTTGCTGCAAATTAGACAGATGTGGGAAATGAACAAAGTATTCTGAACTGAAATATCCTGAACCATTTTGCACACACATCCATGGTGGCAAGAGTAGGTTCTCAAAGGTGAATAGCCCTCAGAGAAACATTTAACACTAGAGGGTGCTCAAGAAATGTCTGTTAGACGAAGAAATGTTCCATATACAGGCGCAAACTCATAGAGCACGCATTTTATTTTTGCTGTTTTTAGGGAGAGGTTCCCCAACATATATATTAAATCTTTACTGACTTCTATAAAAATAACATTGACTATTTCTTTGATATTCCAGATGAATACCATTCCAGTTGTTCATGTGCAACCAAGGGAC